ACCTGGACAGATGCAACTATAAACAGTGATAATGGGTAAGTAGTTACAGTACACACACACACTGTGTATTAGATGGGACCAAAGAGCCAAAGCTCAACCCCTGCAAGCACAACTAGGTGAGTACTGTGCTGCAACCTACTTGATATCAAGAGGACAGCAGTAGTAGAAAACAATTAAGGAAAGTGGATGATAGAAAAACTATCATATGTGAATAGTGGGCAAATAATGTGACAACTATAGGAAGAATTAAAAAGGCTTCTGTTACTATAATTAGGAAGAGCCAAGCACATCAATTGATAAAGAACATGAAATTTGCATGTGTGTCTCAGCAAGAAATAATGGAAAATGAGAAGTGGCTACACAGATGACAGAGCTAGACCAGTACAGTACCTGAAATTCAAACATTTTGTGCTTTTGTACCAGGAACAAGGAAAGAATTGATAATAAAAGTGTTTTTTGCAGAAACAACTAATGAAGTGCAGCAAACAAATATTTGACATAAAACATTGTCTTTGGAAAAAATAAAAGGTTTTGTGACTTGCATCTATAATGATGTCTGATGGTTAGGTTGTCATAAATGTGAATGCAACATCACATAGGTTTTGATCAGTTCCCTACATCCCACTGGTCCATCCTTATCATATGCATCACATGTGTATCCTCACCGACTGAACAAGTTCTCACTAAAGTTCAGAAGCACTGCAGAGTAGAAGGCACTAACTTATGATTGTAAGTTTTCATATTCCAATGCAGTGATTTCCATAAACAAGTGCTAAGACATGTCCTGGAGCATACCTGTTATGTGTTTCGAGGAGTTCTACTCCCCAAGCCCTGCCTGAAGCCAGGCTCAGCTTGTGATAACATGGTTCAACAGGCCATTGTTTAGAAAGACACACACAACAACATAACAGACTGGTTGGTCTGGCACTTCTTGCAAGAACCTGTCCAAGTGCTTCCTGAATACATTCACCTTTGTTCCAGCAATATTTCTAATGCTTGCTGGTAGGATGTTGAACAGCCTTTATTGTACAGTACAGCATATTGAACCTCCTGATGTTAAGACGGTGTTCTCTGATTGTGCCTATGGCACCTCAACTCCTCACTTGTTTTATTCTGCATTTCCTTCCGTACCTTTCGCTCCAGTAAGTTGTTATTCTACTGTGCAAATTTGGGGCCTGGCCCTCCAGTATCATCTATGTACCTGTACGTGTATATATGTCATGTATATGTCACTGAATGAGGTAAACTACTCTCATGACTTTTTACTCCTGTTCCCAATGCCATCCAAAAATTTTATGCAACAAATGAATGTTGAATTTACTTCCTCTCCAAATGAATGTATGCCATATCCCCCCCCCCAAAAAAAAAATTATATATATATATATACAGTATATACTGTACACATATACATACACACACACACACACACACACACACACAGTATATTCAAGGTCAAAGATTACAAGTTGTCTTGAAAAAATTATAATTCTGTATTTAATGTAAAACTATTTTTAATCAAAATGATTCTTTAGCTTCAAAACAAGCACAATATGAAGGTTCTACCTCAAAAGCTTTTTGTCTTTTTTGAGCTTGTATGAAAAAAAAAAAAAAAAAAAAAAGGTTTTGTTTCACATTGGCAACACTGCTGTATGAATATTGTGCATCACTGAGCACTAAAATTTTGTCTGTAAACTACTGCATGGCTTCTACCATCCTACAAAAAATAATGAAAAAACAAAATGGTCAGGTTGAAAAGTCCACTTTTTGTGATTTTGCATGGATGACCCCATTGTTTTCCTCTTCAAATGATGTCAAAATGCATCTACAACCAGCCAATAGGTGCCTAAATGGCCCACTAAACATATAGACCTTGCACCACAATACCTGTGCTAAAAGTTTCAAGCCCTTGTAGCATATCTCACACAATAGACCAAAAAAATCAAAGAGAAAATTTCAAGGCATCCATACCAGGTTAACAGCATTAACAAACCACTTAAAAACATTCTCCAAGATAACTACAATCTTTCTCAAGAAGCTACTCAATGAATCACATTATTACTTTCCTCTTATTCCCTACTTACCCATTCTACTCTGCCACAAGAATCTCACACCATCCAAAATTCCTTAATAAAACCCCTATCAGGTTTGACTTGTGTGATTTAGTATTAAAATACTTTGTTTTATTTTTCCCTTTAATCATGCAATTTCTAAACTGTTCTTGAACATAAAAACAAAACACAAATTAAAACTTCTCTTAAACAGTGCTATCTAATTCTGATGGCTCGCTCTATTCTGGGAGCTTCTCATCAGGGGGTAGCTATGATAAAAATTCCTACAGAATGTTGGATTAGTATACAAATATTTCCCTCATTTAAACTCTCTTTTCTCATCCATACTATCATATTTTGTTTCACTTTATACCCCCATGATTAATTACTGGTCATCAGCCTCTGCGATATGATTCCTATACAATATTTCATATTGTATATGCCTGGGTTCGTATTCTGGCCGGGGAGGATTTACTGGGTGCAAATCCTTGACTGTAGCCTGGTTACCCAACAGTAAAATGGGTACCTGGTTGTTAAACGATTTGGCGAGGTCATATTTCAGGGAATATTAGGATTAAGGACTTTCCCGAAACACTAGGACCTAGCACTATGCATGCTAGTGGCTGAACAAGAATGGAAGAACATTTTTAATATATACTGTATAATTATTGTATACAGGTACATTTAAAATATATATATAACACCTTTCTTGTTAAACAACTCTCAAGGCATTCTATAAACATGTTTATTCAATTTCAGTGTATTGCACATCACCCACTTCCCATTTCATTCCCTCATCCCTTGTGCACCCCATCTCATACTACAGTACTATATTGTTAAACTTATCCCACATACTGTATATACACTAGCACATTAACAAAAATAATTAAGTCTGAACTCTTTGAGCACACTGCACATTTCCACATCAAAGTTTCACTTCCATATGTCAGGGCTGGGAGTAGCCCTGACATATGACAGTAGTCAATTCTGTCCTTTCACACTGTCCTCCCACACTAACTTCCTTTCATTATAATTCACCTCTTTTGTCACTCCTTAGAAATCACTTAGGAATTATGCTACTAAATCTACACTGTCCCCTCTCATTTATCTTTCTATGCTCCAATTTTTTGTAATATGCCCCTCCCCCAAGTATGAAAAACTTACCTCTGCCAGTATCTTCTATTTCTTGCCATTCCCTACGCTCAAAATACTTAATCTTTAGTTTTCTTACATTGACCTTCAACTTAATTCTTCTGCACACACTATCAGACTCATTCACAATCTTTTTGCAATTCCTCCTCACTCTCAGCAAAGACCAGCACATCATCTGCAAACAGACAATCCACTTACATTCCCCTTTCAAGTGTTCTGGTTGGTACAGTAAAAGCCTTGCTTCTTGCAGGGTTGGCATTTGATCCCAGGTGGTTCATGGTCCAAGTAGTTGGACATCATTCTTTCATTCCAAAATTATACAGTATCCCAACTTTTGTCCTCAAGTGTTATATAATTATTAACTTAACACTTTCTCGATAATTTTCTTTTGTTTTTTATCTTCCTAACCCCTAACTAAGCTATACATATATTCTGTAGCTTAAATTAAATTTACAGTAGAATTGACATACTGTATTTGTATAGCTTACATTAGAGCCAGGGAGTCATTACACCAAGTTATATGCCTATGTCCACATATTACGTTTTGTTTGCCTCCTATTTTTCCACCTACCTTCATACACACTATTCATATAAAACTATTTTATCTTACTAGAGAATTGCCTCCCACTTCATATATATAAGCCTCCCCTAATACTTCATGATCCATCCAGTTATGTGATTTTTCTAAAGCAACAAAAGCAGCATACAACTGAAAGCATTTGCTATTTTTAGCTAATGCTAATTCAGCTTTTTACAATATTACGAGTACAGTCTCCCAATGTTTCTTAAGGAAGAGTTAAAGTATTTCAAGACTGGGAGTGACACCACTCACTCCTCAAATATTACCTTGAACATTAAATTTTCCTGAATACTGTAGTTTAATCTTTTGGTTAGCCTATGGTTAGTGATCATGTTTATATTTATCCCATGTTACAACAGCCTGTGTTATAGGAATGTTACTAATAATAATGAAGTAATTATCAAAATGCATAATAGTTCTGAAATAGAGGGAATAATGAAGACTAATATACACAGTTATACTGTAGAGGTACTGGAAAAAATTACCTTACAAAAAGGGCAATGTGTCTCATCACCCGAACACTTGCCATACCGCTTTGTATCCGACCACCTAACATATCTTCTCTTTTGCCATACATAGTCTACCATCAATTTTTCCATATATAATTGCAATTTTTGGCATTGAAAAAAGGTACATTTCTAGCGTAACATTCACATTTCTAATGCCATGCATTCGGTTAAATCTAATAATCAATTTGAACTCTATATAAAGTGACTCATTTCCAACCAAAATGGTTTCAGTGATTTTCCTCAGCCAGAACACACATTAATTCATCATACTTGTCATCAAAGCTTGACTTATCTTCAAGCTTTATTGAGTTGGTGACCACCATGACCTTATTTTAACAAAAATTTGAATAGATATAAACAAATACTAAATAATGAATAGCCAGCTTATACGAGTGGATGTACACGAGTAATTGCAGGACAATATAAATCAGGCAAAGGTCTTCAATTTCAAGCTCCACACACACACGATGTTTACAAGTGTTCCTCAGTGGGTCTTGGGTGTAAATGGTACAGTTTACACGGGTGTGATGTGATATGGTATGAATATATAGGTAGTTCACAACCTGAAGCGTGGACACGTTTAGGAGTGTAGACTACAGTGTGTTTACAGTAGTTATTTATATGTTGTTACAGTGTGGTTTACAGCAGTTCTATGTTGTTACCGTGTCTGCCACTGTGAAGGTGGTGATTACAGGGTGGGCGTGGGCGTACCTGTCATCCTGCGGCGGACTTCCCGGATGTTGGCAGAGATGTAGGGGGTGGAAGTGTGGCCTAGGGTGGATGAGGTGTGGCCCAGGGTGGATGAGGTGCGGCCCAGGGTGGAGGAGGTGCGGCCCAGGGTGGATGAGGTGCGGCCCAGGGTGGATGAGGTGCGGCCCAGGGTGGATGAGGTGCGGCCCAGGGTGGATGAGGTGCGGCCCAGGGTGGAGGAGGGCGCCCGCTGGTGGACTAGAGGTGCTCCTCCCTGCCCCACCAGGGGTGAACACAGGTATATTAACACAGTGAGCACAGCAGCGGCGCCTCTGCTGCTAGCACATTATCAACACAGGCTTCTGCCAGCACTCGGCCAGACACTCCCACAGCCACTAACTCCCCAGCACCGCCCCACGCCCACACGCCACGATATTCCTCTAGCACAGCGGCCGCCCGGGTTGCCACTAGGCACAAATATGTGGGAAAATCTGGTGCTTGCGGAGCGTCAGTAGCACCACGACGCTGGACCAAAGGTGACTGACAAATACAGCGGTGCATTGTGGGTAGCGGCGCCTGCGCAGTGCCAGGGCGCGCCGCACCGCGCTCTTTGAACGCTATATTTATATATTATATACTTCTTAATATTCTCTCTCACCCTTACCTTAAATGTCTTCTTCTGCATATTATGTGTAACACATAACCCCAAACTCCCAAGTGTTATCAGATGAGTAACTGAAACTGTTTGGCCGTAGGCCTATGCAATCTAACATTAACCACAGCATGTTATTAAATTATGTCGTTATTATTAACCATATTTTCCTCATTGTACTGTACTAATGTACCAAAATAACCAATACATAATGCAATGATACTTTTATTTAAAACTTTAAATGGCGATAGGAAATTATTCGGCATCATTAAACTGTTTTCCATCATGTCTTCCTCGCTATTACTACGTTTGGCCCCTTTTATTGATAATTACTTATTTCCATGTGCGCTATTATATACAGCCTATTATTATTAAATATTTTTTAATTTCGTAAATTCCATTTGACAGGTTCTCCTACCAATCAGTGTTCACTCAGAATACAGTATATGTAATTCCAACACCAGTGTAGAATTAATTATTCCTGTTATATATATTCCCGGCTTGGTGCTTTCTTATAATATAACCTATATATAATTATAATAATATATAATATAACCTTAAAACTTCCTGCTAAGGTGAATTCACAAGTTTAGTCCCACGCCAATTGTATAGGAGTCTTTGCCTCGCTGCAAATACGCCTATATAAAGTGTGGAATGGGGCAGCAAGTCGAAAGGCAACTACAATACGGAGTTGTTGAGGATCAAGATGTGTGCCTATTGCAGATATACATACACACTATATATATATATATATATATATATATATATATATATATATATATATATATATATATATATATATATATATATAACAAATATTTTTTGCGCTATCGCTCACAGGATGAGTATGGGGTGCACAATAAACTAGCTGCCTCCGCCAACAATAATAAAATAAAGCCTAACTAACCGAACCTAATCTAATTTGAAGATTAATAGTCTCAGCGGAAATCGAATGCGAGACCTTTGGATTACTAAGAATTTAAACAAGAGAACATGTACGTAGAAGAGAGAGCAAAACACCGAAAGAAACAGTGAACTGTGCTGATGAGTTAGAAAAAAGTACACTGCAATAGAACTGATAGAAACTGAGAAACTATTACAAAATGACATGACAAGAGAAGGAAACAGGCCGGACCAAATTTCTACATAAACTTATCAAGAGCAAATTAATGGTAAGCGACAAAATGATCGTATTAAAAAACCTAATATTGAATTTATCAATGGAGAGTTCAAGAAACATATATTCCCAGGAAGTATTCAAGACTAGACGGCAGACTAGTCATAAATACTTTCTGGGTGACCAGAGTGGATGCCATTTATATTCCATATTCCACAGGCTCTCCACAACCTAACCCCAGGTGTCACCAAGTCAACTCGTCTATCTATATTCTAATTCCGGAAAAGTTGACGACTGGGATGTGACGCGACACTTGGTTTCCCATGAAGATAAAGTTTTAACTGTGTCAAAATGCCAGAGATAAACCAAATGTTTTACTTCACAGTAACGTAGCTTAATTTCAAGCTGGTCCTTGGTAAACTTGGCCAGAAAATACATCACCGGTTAAACAAAAATAAAGTTGGAAAGGCTTTTCCTGCATCTGGCCTGTACTAGTATATTCCTACCAATATTCTCGAAATTGTATTAAAAAAACTGTATTCAGGATCCCATACAAATGTTCTTTTCTCTCTATAATCGTCGCAATAATGTAAAACGTTTTGGATAAACGTTGGTAAAAGCTCAAAGCCAAAGTCGTTTGAATGTCATAGGCTTTAGAGCCTATAGACAACACGAGTGAGGTAGCAAAGATATCGATATAAACTGGTTCCTCTTCTACGTTAAGCTATATTATTTCAACTAATAACTATCATCCACGAGTCTAGTTTTATCTCTATATTCTTTACTAGAAAGTGTATTTTACTGCGCATGCGTGTCAAATAATTCGTCACTCGAGTGTCATAATACAAATATAAAGGCATACTATTATTGTATATTTGTTCCTTTAATTATATACTATAATATTCATAAAAGTTTTTTCATCTTAATAGCAATCGATTTGAATAACTCATCAAATAACTTATGCAAAACATTAATTAATATCCAAGAAATGAGAGATTCCCACCAAAACGACGCAATGCTCATAAGCTCACTATGTGATAAACCAATTATCTTATCGCAACGGCCACAGGTCTTATCAACACTTGCTGATGTACAGGTGGTCTCTGGACCATTACTAACACCTAATATATATAAATGTTCCAAGTGAGCGGTTGCAAGGCGCGTGTGTGCGTGTTAACCACTTAGGAAGGGAGACAACAATGTAAATAGAGAAGCAAATATATAAATTAGTATTCAAATACATAACTGTCTCGTGAACTGAATCGGTATTAGTAAATTATGGGATGTCTTGGTTATAACCTCTGACCTAGGGACATCTTGGATATGACCCCTGACCTAGGGATGATTTGGTAATGTCGCCTGATCTATGGATTCATTGGTTACGACTCCTGACCTAGGAATATAGATCATGACCTATGGATACCCTAATCATGTCCCTTAGCTAATCTCGATTCAAATTCAAAAGATTTCCAACGATAATATCAAACAGAAATGGCTGAGGGCGTCAAGTACAAACCAAATAATCATCCTTAGCTAGTTCCCACACATTATATGCTTCTAATAGCAGGTATTCCTTACATTTATTTGGTCAGTATTATGAATACGATTTTAGACCAATGAAGACAAGAGGTTAGTCATCTTCACTACTTGACTGAGAACTCTGATGCATGGGAGATGGTCACACTTACGAAGTGTGAGTATAACCTTTGTGTTAGTACCTGGTTTTATCTGCTTGGCTTGGCTAAAGCATTTCTTCCTGACAAGGGCTCTCTCTCCTTGTTTGTTCTTTCGGCCGTTATCAGTTTTGTTTCGGGCAAATTCTTTAAAATAAAATGTTGCTATTTCTCATCGCATTGTAAATTTGTGTTAATAAATGTAATAGACACCCAGCCCAGAAATCTGAAAATGAAGAATTGATGACGTTTCGGTCCGTCCTGGATGATTATGAAGTCGTTGAATTACACGACTTGATAATTGGTTCAGGACGAACCCAGACGTCGTCGGTTCTTCATTTTCAGATGTGCGGGTTGGTTGTTAACTCTTCAACCACGGCACTGTGATTCATCGTCACAACATCAATAGTTGCAAATAAATGTAATGTACCGATGGCAGTAAATGGTAAAGGGATGGGGGGGGGGGTAGAAATAGCCTAAGCTACTATATCTCTTTTGAGATGTAATTTATTGTCTCAGTAAACGTACTTGAACTAGAACTTGAATGTAATATGCGTATACACAATAGTACGAAAATCTCAAAATATCCAAATAGTACAAAATACATGGAAGCCGCTGCTTGAGTAATCAAATTAACTTCTCGATTTTGTGCGTTATTTTGAGTTTTATCCTCCATATATCATGGTCGAACTTCCCGGGAGAACCATATTAATAAACATCTAGTACCTTGTATCTTAATAAATACTTACGGGAATGTTAGGTAATGGACAAGGCATGTCCAGAGTCCGGTGGAGGATATCAGGTAGCCTAAACCCGGGGCCTGCGCCTAATTACCTACAGGCATCCATCATTTATGTCGTCACCTAGATACAATAATCTACCGTAACCAGCTTTGGGTAGATTTGTTTATGTACATATATTATACTATTTTCTGCAAGAAAACAAGCCTAGATGAAAATATTTAAGTCTCAGGAGTATTAACCACGTTATCATTTGCAGACCGAGATCTTATATTAAAGTGAAGGATTATTTGATAAATATTAACCCTGAACTCCGGCTGTTTTTTATATGCTGTAATTAATTTCAACATTCTTGCACCTACCTGGAGGCCTAGAGACCGTGCCGCGGGGACGTTGATCCCCGAAATCAACGCAAGGTATACCCTAGGGAATTTTATGTCTGGGTTTGAAGTAAACGGTTCAAATCGTTTAATCAGTCATTTGCTAACAACTGGCAAGCAAAAGTCTTAAAAATAGATCCACGACTTCATACCCAACACGCACAAGATAACTAATGACCCGCGTTTTCACTAAAAAAAAGTTTAAAGACATAAGATATACTAACATTAATTTGATCTGAAATTAAATGAATTATTCGCATCTTTACTATTACTATTATCATAATAATTAATGTTAGAAGTAAGCAAGAGAGTTAGTTTTCATCTTGCTGCCGTAAGTCTAGTCGCGACCTGGTGGAGGTGGGGTCCCTTGATTGTTTCAAGCGCGGGTTGGACATGTATATGAGTGGGATTGGGTGGTTATAAATAGGAGCTGCCTCGTATGGGCCAATAGGCCTTCTGCAGTTACCTTTGTTCTTATGACCTCGTGAACACTACCAGGAACAAGCAGCTAGTTGTACTGTCCGCCACTCTCCACTAAACGCTTAAGTGGTTGCAGGTGGTGAGTGGTTTCAACCAGTGGTATTGAATCATTGCTTCCAACACCGATGTGTCATATATATATATATATATATATATATATATATATATATATATATATATATATATATATATATATATATATATATATATATATATATATATATATATATATATATATATTTTTAATATAATAAGTGGTACATATTTGCATTAAGAGACCGTACTTATCTCCACAGGTTCGAATACCCCCTATACACCACCACGCACTTCTCTCCACCCAATCATACTTATAACTGTCTCCACACACTACTGCTCCTCTTTACCCCCATCCCAGATTGCTTTAGAAGTGTGGACCACTCAGCGAGCATGTTCAGCAGTTGCTGTAGTAGTAGTATAGGCCACTCACCGAGCATGCTCAACATGCAGCTGTAGTAATGTACGTGGGCCACTCA